GGGAGGCATACAAGTCCCCTGATAGCAGACAATAACCTAAGTCACCGGGAGGGGTAGCAACATAGGCAATACAATCAATAAGAGGGTGATGACCTAGGGGTGTGCCCATATTTGTTGTGGGATAAACAGTGATGTCTGCTTGATCTAGACAGCTGATAATGGCTACCTCACTCCGGTCATCCTTGGGTGGGTTTTCCCTCTCTGATATCTCCTACAAGTAAACAGACCACCACTATCCTTATCAGAAGGGAGTGGGTCTTATTTAGGGTGAGTCAGACTATAGTCTAGATGGCTGATGTTAGGGAGAATAACCTCTGACCTATTTTCACCGCCTAATGAACAATCATTCTCAAGCTAAGTCTGGCATATATTTTGGGGAGACAACTTAAGATAAATCCTTCTGTTCCTCACACACCTCCTCCTCCCTTGTAGCTTTACTGTCTTCTCATTACAAAGGTAAAACATGCTCGTGGTAATCATAAAGACTTGCACAGGTAACACTTGGACCCTGAAGGCTAACACTCCGGTTTCAGTTCTGTGAAGCAGTGTGCAGAACCAGTCTCCAGAAGGCGCAGAACTGGCCTGCGATGGGTGCTAACCTCCAGCTGGCCAAAGTGCAGAGGACCAAAGGCACTGATAGATGAAGATCAACACCCTCAGGCTTCAAAGTGAACCACACCTCAGCCCCCAGGCAACAAGACTCCTCCCAGCTGGCACTGCCCAAGAGAGTGAAGTGGTCAAGGAATCTTACTCCCGGAGTGCACGATGGACACCTGTGGGCGTGGCCATCGAGAAGTCACATGACCTGCTGCAGAGGTCGGATCTGCTGCAAAAAGACCTCTCGGGAGTGTTGAAAAGCAAATGTGTCACCGTGGGTAGCCCTGATCCAAGCCACGGTGTGTGTGTGTTGTGTGTGTGTGTGCGCGCACGCGCGCGCGATGTGTCCTTAGTCACTCCCTGCGCATGCAATAATTGGACAGTGGACAGGGAAGACCAGAGAAGTACCGATGCCTTTGCACTCTGCTGTTGGCAAAGGAACGTGTTGCCGGAAGACCAGAAGGACTTGGGTTGGAACTGCATCCTCCTTAGAAGGGAGGACGGCACGCTTGGAGTGGCGCCCAAGGAGGACTCCAGTGTGGGCAAGGAGAGGCTCCGAGACAGCGGGAAGCCTCTAGGAGCACCTGCCTTGGCGGCCACACCCCTCACCCAGACATAACCGTGACGGTGCGGGGGCGCGCAGTTCGGTTCTGCGTGCACAGGGTCACAGTGAGCTGTGCCCAAGTTCCTGCGTGCGTGCAGGTCAGGACTGTGTGTGCTGTGGTTGTTAGAGATATTAGGCACGGAAGTGGGCCAGACTGGACCCTGGCTAGATTGAGAAGGCTTTTCCAGTTCCGCAGCTGCACCGTGCCCGTGCATGACATGCTGTCCTCTCCTGGGTCCCCGGTTGTTGGACATTTCAGGCCTGTGGCCTCCTGCTGTGAGGTGTCTCTGACCCCTCCCCACACCATTGGTGCTACTGTGGTGTCTTTACAAGGGCTGAGCTGTCACTTCTAATGAAAAAGCCTAATTTTCAAATAGCAACATCACTGAACACTTAAAAATTCAAAGGAAAAGAGCCCCCTGTGGCGGGGGTCAGGGACCCGACTGCCCTTTGGCGGCCTCACCTCCTCCCTGGTCTCCACTTGGGACCTTATGGAGCAGGGGTTATGGTAGGCAGTCCTGGAGCCTCCTCTTCCTAGAAATGAGCGTTCCCAGTTTCATCCCAGTGCCGCCCGGGCCCCATGCCCATCTCTGGGAACCCCACGGGTCTCCTCCCTTCCCTTTGTGCCCGGGCCTGGTTTTCAGAGAGGCCCCTTTAACTGCACCAAGTCTTGGCAAACACACAGCTTGCCGGAGTGAAGACCTAGAGATCCCTTTCCAAAATCCCCGATCCCTTTGCAGTCTTTTTATTTTTTTAAATCATTTTATTGGGGGCTCATGCAACTCTTATTATAATCCATTCATCCATCTATTGTGTCAGGCACATTTGTACATTTGTTGCCATCATCATTCTCAAAATATTTGCTTTCTGCTTGAGCCCTTGGTATCAGCTCTTCATATTTTCCCCTCCCCCCTCACAAACCCTTGATAATTTATAAATTATGATTTTTTTCATGTCTTACACTGACCGATGTCTCCCTTCACTCACTTTTATGTTTTCCGTCCCCCAAGAGGGGGTTATAGGTAGATCATTGTGATTGGTTCTCCCTTTCTCCCCCTACCTTCCCCTTCCCCTCCTGGTGTGGCCACTCTCAATATTGGTCCTGAGGGGTTTATCTGCCCTGGATTCCCTGTGTTTCCAGCTCTTATCTGTACCCATGTGCCTCCTTTGGTCTAGCTGGATTTGTAAGGTAGAATTGGAGTATGATAGTGGGGGGAGGAAGCATTAAATAACTAGAGGAAAGCTGTATGTTTCATCAGTGCTATACTGCACCCTGACTGGATCATCTCCTCCCTGCAATCCTTCTGTAAGGGGATGTCCAGTTGTCTACAGATGGACTTTAGATCTCCACTCTGCACTCTCCCTCATTCATATTGATAGGATTTTTTGTTCTGGATCTTTGATGCCTGATAGCCTGTTTCCCCGAAAATAAGACAGTGTCTTATATTAATTTTTGCTCCCAAAGATGCGCTAGGTCTTGTTTTCAAGGGATATCTTATTTTTCCATGAAGAAGAATACGGTACACATTTATTGTTTTATTAAAAGAGACTCTGGCTGCGCTGCGGCTAACAGTGAGCTGCGAGGCGGTGCCCGCCACTACAATCCAGAGTCCAGAGTTATGGTAGCTTTTGGGGGCCTTATTTTTTTTTGGGGGGGTGCCTTATATTTCAGCGAGAGGCAA